TATAGTCCTAATAAAGTTAGTTTTTATTTTAATCTATTTATAGGTTACTTATTTATAGCTAGGGTAGTCTTAATACTATATTATATATTCCTAAGTTAGTAATATTAAATTAAATTCTTTCTTTTTAATTTAAATAGCTTATCTTAAAAGGTATAGTCTTATTATAAATAATACCTCTTTTATACTTAAATTCTTCTCCTTTTACTATATATAATTAATATAGTTATTCTTTTCCTCTTTATAGTATTTTTAACTTATTAATAGCTTAGAGGGTAATAAAGTTTACTTTAGCTTTACTATTAATTAGTATAAGTATTATTTATTAATTAATAGTAACTTTAAGTTCTATATTACTTTAATATCCTTATAATATTTAGTAGATAAACTTTTTTCTTATTACTTATTATAGTTCTATATTAGTAAGTAAGTTTAGTTTTTTAACTACTCTAAGTATCTTAAGTAAGTAATTTATTTCCCTTCTTATTATACTTTTATAAAACTATTTTTATAATATCTAATCTAAAGAGGTTAAGGTCTATTCTTTATAATTCTCTAGGTATATACTTTTTCTTTATAGTAAATTTAGTATTTATTATATTAATATTTATCCTATTTTATCTATTTATTATAGAGGTATTCTATAGGGAATTATTAACTAAGGGTAAATATAGTAATATTACTATTAAACTTTCTAAGTTCCTATTTAGTGAGGGTATATATAGTATAAATATTTTATAGGGGACTATTATTATATTATTTAGGTTAGAAATAGTAGTTATACTTATTTCCTATATAGATTTTATAATAGTTAAAGAAATACTATACCTAAAAGAGGTATTAATAGTTAAGGTTAGTAATTCTAAAGTATAAGTGATTTTTAATTCTAAGTTATAAAGTATAATATATTCTTAGTTCTATATTAAGTATACTATAAAGCTTAATAAATTATTTATTATTATATAGGTTAATTTACTTATATATAATTCACTTAGGTATATTATCTTTCTTAAATTCCTCTTTAGAGCTAATATTATCTATACTAAAAGTAAGCTTATAAGTAATCTCTACTTAAGTATATTAGTATATAATATTATAAGGTTTATTTAAGTTATAAAGAGAGCTTTCTCTTTCCCTAAAAATCTAATTATTTATAAGATTAAATAGTTATTATTCCTCTAGGGGGTTATATTAGTGATTTAGTTTATTATTAGATTCTTCCCTTATCTATTCTTAGAGTTTTTAATTAATTTATTTAATTCTAATAGGATTTCTATATACCTACTTCTTTTATTCTATATATAAAAGTATAATACTAAGTTATCTTTCCTAAAATAAGTTATAAAGCTCTTTTTAGATCTTTTTTAGGTATATTTCTTTAGCTACTTAGAGGTATAAGAGTCTCTATTTATTATTACTCTTTAGTTCTTTAGGTATTATATAAGTAGTTTAGTTTAGAAATCTATAATTAGTCTAACTTTAGTTATTAATTATTTTTAGAGTAGAACTAAGAATTAGTTAGAGTTACTATACTTAGAGTATTTTATTTAGTTATTCTTTAGTTTTCTTTTAGATCTTATTATTATTAGTATATATTATTACTAAGGTTCTTAGATATATATCTAGAATAATTATATTATATTTAGAATATCTAAAGTTACTATCCCTTAAGTAGTATCTTAATATTTCCTTATCTTTAAGGTAGATTTAATAGTTATTATTATAGTATCTAGTTTAAGATTAAGATATATATAAGGTTTTTATAATAGTATTAACTTATTATAATTATTTAGCTATTAGCTTCTAAGGAAGCTTTTTAGGTTATTTATAGTCTCTAATAATATATCCTTATTTATTATAGTTATAATACTTAGGGTTTTAAAGTTTTTTATTATTAAGTTTAGTTATTATACTAAGATCTATAAGTTTACTATATTATCTATAGGTAGTATTTTAGTAGGTATTATTTTAGTTATTATAAGGTCTATAGTTATTCTACTAAAAACTAAATTTCTAATAAGGCTACTATTAATACTTATATCTAAAGTTTAATCCTTATCTTTTTTTACCTTTTTCCTTATAATATTTAAAAAGTTAATTATTAATCTTAATAGTAAGGTTAGTATATTAAAAAAAGTTTTTAGGATAGTTAATCTTAATAATCTTATTTTTAACTTTATCCTTAAGTTCTTAATAGAATATAAAGATCTTAGTTTCTTTAGTAAGGTTAAGTTAGATATTAAGTTATCTAAATATAATAGTATATTCTTTAGTTAACTTTATCTATTATAGCTATATAAGGTCTCTCTTAGTTTATTATTTCTTATTAAGGTTTTAGAAGAGAGAGTAGAAGGTATTTTTAAATCCCTTAAAACTACTATAGATATTATAGATCTCTATAGAGTATTTATCTAAAGTTTTATATTTAAGGAATTCTTCCTAAATAAATTTAAATTATTTAAGAGCTTATCCTTATAAATAAGTAGTAGTATAAATAACTTTTTTAGTCTAACTAATAAAGTCTCTATAATAGAAGTTCTAATAGTTTTTAACTTAGATTAAGAATAACTTAAGTTATTTAAGAGTACTATTATAAGTAATTAAAGTACTAAGCTTAAGCTTCTATTATCCTCTAGTAGGAGTTATAATAATATTAATAACTATATATAAAATATAGATTTCTTCTTAGAATTCTCTAATATTAGTATTACTATTTTATCTTTTAAATTAAATAACTTTATTTTCTAGGTTTATAATATATTAGAAACTATTTCTTAGTTATTATATTATTTCTTTAAAGTTTTAAAGTTCTATAGTAGTATTATTATATATAATCTAAACTTTAGTGATATTATTATCTCCTTTTTTAACTTTAGTTTAAAAGCGTTTATAGGTATCTTTCTTTAGGGTTACCTTATTATTAAAGTCTACTACTATAAAGGCTCCTTTAAGTTCTTTAGCTAGGTTCTAAACTAGCTATTATAAAGAGGAGAAGGTTCTTAGAGTAAGTAACTTAGTAGAGGTATATAAAAATATACTTATTATTTTACTATTAGTAGGTATTAATAGTTAATTTACTAAATAGGAGTAATTAAAGTGTTATAGTTAGCTATTTAATAGTAAGGTCTACTAATAGAAGCTAGGGATTAATATATTATAATAATATATTAAAGTTATAATCTAAGTTATAAGTTATAAGCTATAGTAAATTAGGTCTTTTAGAGACTAAAGTAATTAGTCTTAAACTTAATAAGTAATTTATAGTAAAGGTAAGCTAAGAATATTTATAAAGATAAATACTAAGTTAATTACTAAAGAGCTATAAAAGTCTAACTATAAACTAAACTTAAAGTTATACTATATATAAGTCTTAAATAATTCCTTTATCTAGTTTTACTAATTCCTAACTAGGTACTAATAAGTACTTAGTAATTATAAGTAAGTATTTAGTAGTCCTTACTAAGTACTTAGTAATTTATACTATTTACTTAGTCTTATCTTATTATTATATAACTTATACTATAGTTCTTCTGTTATCTAAGTAAGTCCCTATTATTCCTATAATCCTATAATATAAATATCCTATCCTAGCCGCCTATTGCCTGAGTGGGTCGGTTAACTATTATCTATGCATAATGGGTTGTAACAGCTGACTGTGATGGTTGTATATGAATTGCAATAGATGTCGACTATTTGTGCGGCTTCCTTCTCTCAGTCTGCAGAATTGTCTTGAATTATATATAGAGAGTCAATCCATAGGTATTAGACTCTTAATTTTTGTGTAATCTCGATAGCTTGCTGGAAGCTTGCAGGAAGCAAAGACCAAGGAATAAAGTTGAGCCTCTCTCGTATATTTGCATTCTCCGTTTTAGACCTGATCGGAGTTTTGCCCCAACAGTGACTAAGGCACATGTAAGTCCCAGTTTGCACCCCAGTTTCTGCAAGGCGCACACCGTCTATCCCGTTGCGCGATATGCCGGTCACATCGATGAGACGGGTGGGAAGTTGCAGTTGGGTCCCTTTACCGCAATCGTCGTGGTTCGCTTCGCAATCTCCAATCCAGGCTCGGACACGTTGGAGACTCAAGGACGATGATGTATCTCCTACGACACCATATGTCATATCCATCCGTCGAAAGGTATTGCACGAGTTTGAAAGATTGAGGATTCTGACGCATGTTTCCTCTCCGTCTGGTGCTGCGACTTTCAGCGTGCCCTTGTGGCCCACAATCCATCTGATTGTCGTAGAAGGAGCAAGAAATATGAGACGTTCTGCCTCAGCTTCACCAAGCATCAATCTAATAGCTCCACACGTCCCACATCCGCTAAGGGCAGATTCTGCCAACTCGTGGTACTCAAAGACCTTCCCTTGAGCAACGCGGCGCTTGCCTCGTCGGATGATCTCTTCGTGGGATGCTTGTGAGCTTTTGATCGCTTCTGGTGAGAGCTTCTGTCGAGAGGCGTATGCAGAGCAGTAGAGAAGACAGCCCTCTGTGCCAAGTGTGTCGAAGAAGTCAAAGGTCTTTGGCCGAGTGCCACCCGTCCAGCGAGTGCTCAGAGCGTCCTCGAGAGATAACGGACGAATTGAATATCCCATGTTCGATCTGCCTAGATCATAGATCACATGCAAATATGTTCAGTCAAGCTTTGAGTCTCTTAAAGAGCATGACATGATCAGCTTTGTACGTCGCACGATCAGGCTGCCAGGCTGCCAAAATGCGGCCTTTTGTGACACACTAACACGTGCATCATCGGGACAATCTACCAATTACAACTCCCCTGCGGCGTGTAAGCAATCATGATCCCTGCAACTCTTCTACGAGCGGACTCGATCAATCTTTCAAAGACCACTAAAACACATCAAATAGTATTGGCGATCCAAACAACTCAATCTCATCAACATCGTTTCATGACAGTACTCACAATGCGAGTAATTCTTGCGCTCATGGTTATTCACTGCTAAACTTATTAAACACTCGGGGTTTCCTCCATCATGCTAGAATCTCACTCCGTATCCCACCTCATGGAGGAGACAATGCCGCCGTCCACCAAGATATCAGTACCAGTGATGAAGCAGGACGCGGGGTTGACAAGAAATGCTACCGCGTTGACAATGTCTGCCGGCGTCACAGCCCTTCTGGCAGGAGATATCCTTACTAGATTATCAACGGATCCATCCACCCCGCGCTGATCAGTCCGAGCAGGAATCACTCCAGGGCTCACACAATTGATCCTGGCCCCCCTTGACCCCCAAGCCGCCGCAGAAGCCTGCACCCTAACCAGCTTCCCACGCATAGATAGACCGTAAGCCGCAGCCGCACCCTGAGGGCCCGTTTCATTGATGTTGAAGTCGGGATGCGCGAGTAGCCGTTCACGCGATGCTGTGGCGAGGTGACGTTCGAATGCGGGGTCTAGAGGTGGACAGAGGTGGCCCGCCATTCCAGAGATGCAGACGAAGTTGGAACCAGCCTGGGCGATCGGAAGGAAGGCATCTATAACGTTGATAGTCCCGAGTAAATCGATTTCGTAGACGGTGCGGGCGCAGTCGGCTGCTGGACCTACGCCAGCAGCGAGAATAATCGTCTCGACGGGGCCTATGACAAAGGCCTTTTGCGCAAGCTCGTTGACCGAGTCGAAGCTCGAAATATCCACGAGTGCCGTATGAACAAAATAGCCCTCGTTGTGTAAGGCGGTTGCGCCAATGGAAAGCCTATCGGCCGAGACATCCGCGAGCAAGACCTGTCGGCCGATGCCCAGACGACGAGCGCAGGGGAGGCCCTTGCCGCCACATCCGATTACCACGACCACATTCGAGGACTGCATCGTGTTTTTCTTGCCAAAGATAAAGTATGCTTGATGTTGTATGCGCTTGGGAAGAGGACGCGTTTCACAGTCCCATGAGCGAAGCTTTCGATGTTGGTAAAGCTATGGAGTCATGCTAGACTTCGCTCTCGCTCTCGCTATCGGTAATGCGCACCACTAAATCTTTGGACTCTTACGCTCAACGTTGGATCTCTTGTTGATCTGTGATTGTATGATCCTGATGCCAATAAGCCCTCGTTGTCACATACGACTTTTGCTAGAGCGACTGCGCATGAGCGACAAGGACGTTAACGGAGACGACGACGGAGACAACGGCAAATGTGACGACAGCTACGACAGGCCGTTTAGATTAGAAATTCCTTTTGCGGGTCTGTAGTGAAACTATCCTGGGCATCATGAGCAATATTTCGACGATTGGTCGGCATCTCTCAAAGGTAGTGGACACGAAAGAAGAACTACAAAAGTCAAGGAAATAGTGAGATAATAGAGGAGCCTAATGCTTCATGCGGTACTTCGTTTAGCCAGAATTCTCCGCTTGGATTGAGAAATTTGTCACGGCATTATAGGATGTACTATGACGTACGAGATAGTCATGCCGATTAATAAAGCGTAGGACTATTAATCCAAAGTGTACTACTGCAACATAGGAGGCGGGAGGAGTGCTGTGAATGCTACGTTACTGATTAGAGCACTAAAGAAGCTAAAGCTCTGGTGAATTCCCCCCTTCTAGTGTCACGGCTGTGCGAGCAACAACCGAAACGACAGGCGACCACTCCGATAGGACGTCTTTGCCACGCATGAGGCCGTTGTTTGTGCGAACTTGATACTGGTATTCAAGTCCATCCTCAACACCCATTGTATCGTGTCTGTTTGTGTCTTTACGCCAAACTTCCCACTCTGAAGTCTTGGTGGAGCGGCATCTCACGTCGTATCCCAGGGCGCCATAGACGTAGCCCCACGTGACAATGATTGTATGATGCTGGGCCACTACAGTGACGTTCGTCGGAACAGGACTCGGTCTTTCTGGGACTTTCTGTGGAATTACGAGTTCCTTATTGCCCATGCCGAACCCATACACCAAAGTTTGAGAGAATGCTCTAGCAATCTGGAACTCGCCAAGGGCATTGGGATGTAATCCGTCGTAGCTACCATCGAAGCAGTTGTAGATCTCGCGTATTCTGACCAGACGAACAGGAGAATCTCGATGATCCCAGTTGTGGATCGATGGCTCCAGGTATTTGTTGTATGTATCTACCATCTTTGCCAAGTGCTTGGTGCCTTCCATGGGAGTTCGCTGAGGGACACTTGCGACGGCAAACTTCAAATGCGGACTGGCAGAACGGGCATTGTCGAGTAGCTCCTTCATGACCTTGATAGTGTCTTCCGGTCCTCTGACGCCCCATCCCATATCGTTAAAGCCAAGCATGACAAGTAGCAAGTCTGGTTCGTACGTTGCCACCTGCTGGCGGATCGCCTCCGCGCATTGCCCCGTTTGCTGTCCCCAAACTGAGAAATGCTGTGATTCAAATTTCACTCCGTCTGCGTAACCACCGTTGTCCACGAACTTGCAAACCTCTGGTGATTCCTTATGTGACTGTTCTATCGCCAGTAGAGACGGGCTCAAGGTCTGTGATTCCGAGGGTTTGAAGGTGCTGTTGCACGGACCAACAAACTCAAAGTTGAGATTCTCCTCATTGAGCCATTCCCATAGCCTGTACCGCCAGGTGAAGTCTCCCTCGCGGCCATGAGACATTGAGTCCCCGACGACCATGATTTTCGAAGGGTGCTTGATTTCCGTCGAGTGATCAGGCATAATAGCCATTTTTTGCTCTGATGGTGTCAGCATTGATGTCATCGTAGACTTAATGGCGGCATACCGAAAAGGTGCATCTGAGTCCGGACGAAGCCCAAAGCAAAGCGTGAATATCCTAAAGCAGGTTGATGGTGCTGTGGGGCTAAAATGGTAAAGTTACACATCAAAATTCGAGCAATGGCTGTCAAAGGATTGAACAACATTTTGTAGGCTGTCTGGTAGGTCCATACAACGCAGCACTCAGGATCGCTAGTGTTATGTCGTTGGGGAACATTGGTGTCGTCATTGGGCGTCGGCAATTTGAATCTAGTTGACTTTCCGTTCAGCGGGGAAACTCACATTCCCTTGCACCTTCTTCGACGAACACCTGGTCTGTGAGGCAGGCGGCACTTTCCCACAGTTTGTGTTGTTTTAGAGCATTCATTAAAAAGGAGACAAGGGATTTCCAAGTGTGTCGCGTTGACTCTTTCCCAAAAGTCATCAACTTCGGTGAAAGGAAAGTGCTGTCCGAGGCGCTCTGCAGGAACTTACGTTCCTACAATGCATTAGTCGCAGCACACAATTTGAGCAACAGGTTGATCTACTGAAACTCCCTGAGACCTCTAAATACCTCGGTCTAATTTTGATCGCCTCCTAGCAAAATCGAATTCTCCAGATCAAATATTTACTCCGAGCTGCCCACAGGCAGCAGGCCTTCATTGCTAGAGTCCTGCACGTTGGTTAAGCGCTGTTGCCTTGGGTGCGAAGCACTAAAGAAGGGGAGTGGAGATGGCAATTGGAGTCGTCGATGGGTCTTGGCGGTTAAGTGCAGCAAGACGGGTTAGGGCTGATCCACCTTTTCCACCTTTTTCACCTTTGGCACATATTTGCAAAATTCATATCGACTTTCATCAAACAGCTTCCGATATGGTGTAGTGGCCAACATGATGCCCTCTCATCTCGTGAGAGGTTAGGCATAGCCCCGAGTTCGATTCTCGGTTTCGGAACGTTTTGCTTTTGCTTCGGCTGGGTGCCGGCCGCACGGTACCTGTCTAAATGGCCGAATTACCTCGGACTTTTGTCTCTCGCGGGTTTGTTGCAGTATTCGCAACTTGTTTGTTTCAAGATAAGCAATTCTAACCAGATATGAAAAGAAGGGCATGAGCATGTACAGGGAACTTCACAGTGGCGGAACTAGTCTCGTCAGTGACAATATGCGACGTTGACTCAAGAATTTTGTGACTCGGATTCGTATTTTTTAATTCTTCCGAAACTCATGACAGCCGTTCCTAGAATATCCTTTTCCAACTACACGCTGAACCTCCTCAGGAGCTTTCTGAAGCCACTCTGCTATCGTGCGATTACCACTGGCCTGAAGCTGTCATGGCTCTCGGGCTTCTTAACCTCCTGATGAACATAATAGACATCATTCCATCTAGCTAATGATGTGAGGGCTGATCGGTGGGCCGTATGCCTCGACAGTCTCGCGCTTCTCCTCCACAGCCGGGATATGAGGGTTTATGGGAGGACCGTAAGCCTCGACGGTATCCTTCTTTGTCTTGGAAATGATGTGGGGATTCACAGGAGGCCCGTAGGCCTCGACTGTGTCTTTCTTCGAAATGATATGCGGGTTCACAGGCGGGCCGTACGCTTCGACGGTGTCCTTTTTGGAGATGATGTGCGGATTGACGGGTGGTCCGTACGCCTCCACGGTGTCTTTCTTGGAGATGACATCCGGGCTGGTAGGAGGGCCATATGCCTCAGCGACAACTGGCGCAGCAGAGGCGAACGAGACGCAAGCTGCGACGGTGGCAAGAAGACTTCGGACACGCATGATGAATAAGTGGTATGATACTCGGCTCTCTGAGGACTGCCAAGGTTGTTGTGACCTGGTTGATGGCTTGGAGTTGATGAAGACCACTTATGGTTGTTTCGGTCGTCGCTTTATACCGTTTCTTCAAGCTTTTCAATCTCCTGAGTTGATCATCTGATGCAAGACGCTTTCAGAATTCCGCTTCCCCTTCGTGAAGATAAGCGCTCGTTCTCGTTCCGCCCGACGTACACGCAACTAAGTGGCACTTGGTCCTGGTAAGACTAGACTGTGTATGATACCATTTTCGCCAATGTAACACGAAATCCATCGCTCATCCTACTTGAATCACCATGCCAATGAAGGCATGTCGTATATCTCACATGACGTACTGAACTCATATTTTACATGCCGCTTCGAGACAGTCCGAGATCGTGACTTCTGGGCTAACTCCATCAAGAAGGTGGGCAACCGCCCCCAAGTGATGAGTGGCCTTACAAGGGGTACATGCAAGCGCGGAATCCTACGCTTAGCAAGGGCCGCTGCCGAATAGACTTAATTCATGTCTACACCGCGGATTCGTGCCGCAACCTAGCCGAAAGCTTTACTTCGTCTGCATTCTACCCTAGTCTGCCTTTTTTTTGCTTGAGGATGAGCTTTTACGGTCCCAGAGGCAAGTCTTATCTTTCGCCCCTCTTCCTTATTGACCTTCAGCTCATCCTTACGCTGTTGGAGAGTTCGCCGTCAGCAAATTTCATGTGCCAAGTTGACATTGAGTGGCCTATTCGAGCTACCTAATCTAAATGACCTCATGCTAACATTTGGGCTGGTTGTACATGGCGATACGGATACGGAAAGACATCTATCTCACTTACCTTGACTTTTTCATCGCTGAATAAGTCCAGTTTGGTAGTCAAATCTCACTTCTTGGCATAATCCTGGTGGTCTCGGCGCATCCTTTAGCTGCATTGTGTGATTGGGCAATGCGTCCCATGCAATCACGAGTTTCTACACTTTATGCAGGACGTGAAGGATCTAGATGGCTTTTCGATTTCAGGCAGGTGGAAACATTTCATCTTACGACTTCACTCGGTCTGGACAGTCTGGCAGAATCCTTCATTTTGCCGTCGCTTACGGCGGAGCACTGCGATTTTGCCGCCGTTGACCCCAGTGGGCTTGCCAGGAAAACCAGCATCTTCTGCTATAGCCCATTCGCTTCGCGGCAAACTCTGCTCTTCAGTTCAACTCGCAGAAATGAAAGAAATTTATCACAACGGCCTTGAGCAGGACTCTGCCGAGAGCCTTCTTGATGAGGTGAGCAAATAACTTGTTGCTGTCGACGTTTGATGAGGAAAGCTAAGGATTGGAGTCATCGAATGCGGACTGGCCCTCTCTAGTTTCTCAAAGTAGGCAGGTATGGAGCTATCGCTCGAAAGCAATCACGATCCTCAATGTTTTTTTCTTCGTCGTGTCGTGTGGAATGCTGTTCGTGTCTTGGAGACTACTGCATGACCCCATTCGGCTGATGAAGCGGGTGTCACCTTACAGTAAGTTCATGCTGTCATTCTCGGATCTTGATCTCATACCACTCTTCAGGTCCGATACTTGACGATGTTCCAATCAAGCTTGAGACCGTCGAAGTGAAAGGAACGCTGTTCAACGACTACACTCCATCTCGCGTTTGGCGTCAGCCGCCCAGCGAAGAGGTCGACAAGGCATGGGACGACATGGCGCGCATCGAGTATTTTGGTGTAAGCGGAGATGCACTCAGTAAGATGGGCAAAGATCCAAAGATTTCTGTGTCTATCCCCGAGGACTGGGGCGTGGGCCCCGACAAGTATCTCGTCGAAATTGACATGCAACATCAGCTGCATTGTCTCAACGCTGTACGCAAATATGCGTACTGGGACTATGTAAGTAGACAAGATCAACTTGGTGTCTTCTCATCCTTGGCTGCAGCGCTAATCGAAAACAGTACTACGGTAACTCCTACAAGAACATGTATACTCAAATTAACCTCGTTTACGTACGGCATGATACTGACCTTTGAATAGCTCAATGGCACCCAAAAGACACCAGGCCCACTTGGCACACTGCGTCGACATTATCTTGCAGGCCCTGACATGCAACCCAAGCCTAGATCTGATAACTCACAACTGGATGAAGACGCAAGAAAACCCATACCCTGATTTCAATATAAAAAGGCAATGTGTTTCTCACGATCCGATTTTGGAATGGCAGCACAAGAACGGCATATCTGAGCAAATTCTGAAGTTCAAGAATCTTCCCAGACCTGCGGACTTTCCCGAGGTTGAGCCAGAACCGTCGCTTCTACTGATTGGGAAGGATGCAGGGCATCATGAATAGAACTGTTCGCATCCAGCATGCGTACTTCATGATTTCGGTGTAATGAGTTTGCCTCAGACCGATTTCTGGTGGATGGCGTTGTTTCTGGTACGAAGGTCTACGCTGAACATGAACAAATAGTGCACAAATAATGTTCGGATTGTTAGGGTTGAATCAAAAAAAGATGTGCAATTTCAATTTCTGTTTCACTACTATACATTAACCATTCAAAACCACCTTTGAAGTAGGTATTGTATTCCTCATCGCCTAGATTCCTTGGGATTCTACGCCGTGGTGTGCCGCCCTCAGCCGCTCTTGATGCCTATTAGCCTGCTTCTGAGCCTCTTCATACTCTGGAGTTTGGGTATATTTGAAAAGGTTGTACGTCTGGTGATCAGGGTGAGCGTGCAATTTGTGTTCGGTCTGCATCAATCGGTACAACGATCGAATCTCAGACTTGACCTTTCTGCCGTTCTTCATTGTCACAAGGCATGGTTTCCCGTCGCCGTGGTTGTTCTGGGGTCGATAGGCGTCGTCGTTGCACAGCTTCTGAAAAAGCGACTCATGAAAGGTAGCGTCCTCGGGAATGTCTCGCGTGGCGCCCTTGTTAAGAGGGAATCGAATCCACTCCCAGGTCCTTGTTTTCTTGTCGCGCTTGTCGTTCACCTTTCCGCGGAACCAGAAGCGGTTCCAAAGATTTTCGCCGTGAGTGATTTCCCATCGTTGGATCAGAGGAAAGAATTCTAGACGCCGTTAGTTTCAAACCCGTCCATGATACTTGGCGTTCCTGCTTACCCAAGAAGTTCCAGAACAACACCTTGAAAAAGCCGGTGCCGAAACCGAACATGATTGGATCATGGACCGACCCGTTGAGCGCCGAGTCCTTGTTGTGTTCATACCGATGTCTGAACTCGTTGACTTTGTCTTCCTTCCAGTAGACGTGCTTGTCGGCCTCAAGCTCTTTCATCATCCACATCAGAGGGACGTCGCTCAGCTGGCAAGGCTCAAACTTCAACTGCTTGCTCCGGGTATGGGTTGGGTCTCTGCATACGATCTGCTCGTGGCATGCCTTGCACTCCATCCTAGAACACATTTGGTGTCCTGTCTTGCAGTCTGAAAGGAGACATTTCTCAGCCTTGCATAGGCCGCAATCCTTGCAGACGTGGCAAGCCATTTTGCCAGGGCCAGTCTTGACTTGTTTCACTGGACTCATGCCCAAGAGAGCACGGAATTTCGAGACCACCCTCGAGGTACGAATATTGGTGTAAGCTTTCGAAGCACCGACTTTGATCCTTGCCGAGTATTTCGCGTTCTTGTCGTCAATCTCGAGATGGTCTTTGACAGGGTCCCATCCTCCGCCGACGTCGCCGTGGTTTCCTGGGAACCAGACTTCCTTGATGTCCTCGTAATCGTGGTTCTTTTTCTTGTCCTTGTCTTGTTGGAAGAGCGCTGCCTTGAACTTGACCCGACGCTCATCCACAGCCACGGCGTGACGAATGATGTGGGCAGTGCCCTTCACCAGAACTTCCTTGGTGGCCTTTTGCTCCATGGTACCGACAGAGTTGACACAGTCCCAGAGGCCCAGGAAGTGCACCTTGACGTTGGTGACCTTCTCCCGATGTCTAGGTCGGTCCACGTCAAAGGAAGGCTCCTGCTTGCAGAATGTCTTGCTGAACTTTCGGAGCTCTCGCGTGCGAGCCTTACGCTCCTTCTTTTCCCGCTTCTTGATCCTGACCGCTGCCTCAAGTTTGTGATCTTCGCAGTCAGATTCTTCCTCTTCGACATCAGAGTTCTCGTCCTGACCCTCGCCCTCATGGTTCTTGCACTTGAGCTTGCCATCAAGATAGCGGTCATAAAGACGGTAGGCGAAAGGAACCATCTCTTCATTGCCTCTGCAAAGAAGACCGACGCTGTAGACCATGCGAGCAAGGAACTTGGCAGTGTATGCCCCACGGCTGAATCCGAACATGTAGATCCTGTCGCCCTGTGCATCCATGGATTAGAGACGTTAACGTGATGCTAAACTAAAATACTTACGGTCTCATAGTAACGCATTAAGAACCGATATCCCGCCATAATATGGGCGTCGAAGGTTGTGGCGAATCCTTCATCGATAGTTCGTTCGACAGTGCTCAAGACTTCTTGAAAGGTATTCTTGTGGACTGTCTTCTCGTTGACATTGTAGGTTCCGATACCAGCTAAAGCAGAGTGTGAGTAACGGACGTAATAGTTAGTCTAGAAAACTTACTCTGGTAGTAATGAAACTGGTCCTCGTGGTTACGGTCAAGCATGCTCAGAAGCTTGACCACATTGGTGTCCTTCTCGGACGCAGTGAAATCATTGCCGGTACCGTCAAAGCACAGGATGAGATTGCGCTTCTTCTTTCCCGGCTGTCGACCTGTGGGAAAATGCTGCTGGGTGGGACTGCTCTGAGGCGACGAGAGAGCCGTGTCCACGGAGGCTTGAGACTGGTCGGAAGGGAACGACATCTTGGCTATGAGAGATGTGAACTTTTGGTATACTGTGACTTGGGTGATTACTTTCGAATTGTTTCTACAGAGACGACTCTTTATATCAATTTCCTGACTGGGATCAAGACGGGAGGCTCCTGCTGTTTGCGCTGCCCTAACGCCCGTGAGTATGCTACCGCATCAGCACATGCCATCAACGAGCCCAAACATGCGAACGGAAATTGAACTTTCGGCTACTCCCTAGCAGCATGTTTAGCATCATGAAAACGATTCCATTGCAGATCACAGTTTGAGACGTTCGTCCCGCTAGAGCACGCGCCCTCAGCCCAACGAACACCATAATCACAATGCCATCCTCGCCCTGATCGCAGATTCCCTTCGCGCCTATTCTATTACGGCTTAGGCTCTCAGGTAGCCACATGGCCTTCATCCACGGCGCTTGACTCCGGTTGGAGTCGTTGTCTCGCCGAACAGGGCCAAGCGCCACGGGCTGAGAGGCCGTTTGAAACATCGCACGAGACACTGTCTGACTGCCCAAGTCAGCTCCGTGTCTTGCAGCGCGATTCGTCGAATCAAGAGGCTCTGGCGGGTTTCCCCGCCTTGTCAGCCAACTGTCCCGGGTGCGTCTTCCCGAGTTGAGACGCGCTTGTGGCTGTCTGGGGCAATTCTGTGTGATGATCTCCCTGCCCGACTCCACGTTCGCGGAGACGTGTTGCAGAATCAGCAATATGAGCCAAGCCACTGGGTCGAGAAATACGAACGCAATCATTCCAGGTCTTCAGCCTTTTTGATGATTGAAATGCGCCTGGCTTTGCAGCTCCTGGGATAGGAAACTTGAGGCATGTGCTGTGATGAGAGAGCGCAAATCGGTAGTCATTATTCGGGGGTGTCTCAAGTCTTTCTCGGAGTGTTATCTTGCCAAGATCAACCCAGCTATCCGGAGTGACTAAGAGAAGAAGTACCCGTCAGCACACGGCAATGGCCTGCCGAGGAGTCCTCGGATGTCCGTCCAACATCCTTCTTCTGGTTCCTCTTGATTCATAGAGCATGAAGCCATTCAATCAGCCGCGAAGCATTCATGAGTCCTCGAGCTACCAATCCTGACAATAGGCATTCACAGTTGGATCGATCACTTCAAGCAGATGATCTCCTGCACTTCAACCTTCGGGGACAGAAGCATGTATCCCAATTTTCGGTGCCCGTTTTCTTAGTCATCATCAATGTCCGTCTCATTTGACGCTCATATTTGTCTGCCATCTCAATAGGCATCCCGTGAAGTATTACTGTTTTCGTTCATCAGGAGCTAGCAAGCTATTCACATGACTACCTTGGCCGTTAACAACCGGCACCTTGCCTAGCAAAAGCCACTCGGGTTGTCTCAATCCGTCCGCGAGGACAATCTCTGTTCTTTCTTACTGCATTTTCCTGTTGGGGAACCAGAATGGCTGATCTTCGCTAGTAGAGTCAGTATCTTCTGCCATTGATATTCATGTGTCCATTTTGGGCAGAACATCCAGGCTAATGTAACTCTGTTAGCGCCTCGAAACCTAATAATACGAGTTCACGACCAGAAGGCATTGCTCCCTTTCAGAAAGCTGACTGCAACAGCGTCTGGGTACCTTGTTGGCCTGTGGAGAAGAATCAAGACCAGATCATTGCCATGTTTCCCAGTCAAAGGCAGTCGTAGGAAGTTAGTTCTCACGAATGTGGACATCACACGAAAGTCTTAGGGGTAATGTCCCAGACCACGATACAAGGTAAATTCGCTATTTCAAACAAGCCATAACTGTTTGAAAGGCGACAATGCGCTGCAACCTCCTGAACACAGCAGCAAGAACAAAGTATCAACATATCCCTGTGGGTTTGTTCAGTCATGATGTACATCTCCCAGCGCCCCTGATTATAGAGAGATACTCCTGTCTCCTCGCGAGTATGTGCGCCCACATACCTGTCGGATAGCATGACAAGAGCATACAGGCATGAATGCTGTAGATAGTGGCAGTCCTCGTGCACGCTCTGCCTGCAGCTGATATGTGGCCTACTAAAGTCTTCAAGGTCCTTCCACCCGCCCGGCTTTATTGTCGTCCCTTGCGTCAAACCCTCCGCACAATCCCCTGCGGGTGCTTTCTTTTGGGCCGCAGCGTGTCTGCGTCCTATTTCGGGAGGTCCAATCTTATTGTAGATTGCTGCATGCTCAACGTATACCTGCCAGTGGATACGCCCGGTCCTAGGTCGTCGGCGGGAAGATGATGTGTCACAGCCATGTAAAAAGAGCCCAGATCTGCTTACATTGCGGATCCTTCAAGATTCCCATCTGTTACCCAGTTGGAATTGTTTCCGGTTGAAGAAGCCGACGTCTCTTGGTTTTCTGCCTCCGTAGTAATTAGAGCTCAATGAAAACCACGCATCTCGGCAATCGCTTCGTCTTGCCACCTAACACTGCTTCGCCCTGTCAGTGTGTTATTCTTACTCGAATTATCAAACCAGCTGATTTGGAGAAGCTCGTTGGACATCCGCGTTGTTGCTTGTGTAAAAGACCCGAAATCAAGATATGTTTCTTGTTATTAAGAACAGGCAAGAGTCTAGAGGCTCGCGGATTTGGCTGCGAGCGAAGGATTTTCCCACAGGACCCGCTCTCATTTTATAAGAAGTAGTGAAAGCGGCGTCGAGGGACTTGAAGGATCGCTGATGCCTTGCGGGAACGGGAATACCAAGCTGTCTTCTGACTTCTCAAATCGCTAATCTGTATGTATCTAGGACAAAAGAACCCCCAAAGGTGCGTTTTGTCACACGAATATCGAAGCCCAAGGAAAACTATAAGTTGAATACAATTCGACTTTAAGAAAGGCTTCAATGTGGCCGCAATTGTGCATATGGTGTCTCTGAATTTGGCAAATGCAAAGATAACTTTCATCTACGACAAGGAACAACTCTTACAGTTTGGTTTCTTGAAAGTGTCTGCCGCATGGATTTCCGTCTTTCCTCGTCCATGTTGTCTGTTGAATGTGCGGAAAAGCACACAACCACAGACGACATGGTAGGTATCCACGGATTCAGGCTTTGCGCACTTCATATCGTCACTAACACGTCTCGACATGTCAAAGTTCATATTGTCATCACCATAGAATCAGACTTGTTCTCCAAGACTGCGATTGTTTCTGAGACAAAAGGCTCATGTGAAATGGTGTGCTTAAATGCAAAACTTCCCTGCCCCAGCTGGGACTTACCGACACAAAAGGTGTCTGCGACGACATGCACCAAGCCATCTAGAAGGTACCGTGTACGTCGGGTATGCTTTGAAACACAACTAATCGACCATTGTCCCGGGCCTTATTTTAAAGTCAAATGAGGCAAGGAAAGCTCTCTCAATGGAGTCGCGAGACTGGAAGGTTAGAAATAATAGGGGAATCGGAAGTCGCATGCGCGAGACCAGACAACCTGCTAGATTACTCACGCCTAAACATTCGAAACCACCGCCACTGGCCACTGTCTCTGATTCCGACGTATTCTCAATATTCTTTTAATGATGAAGAGCGAGTGATCGTCGACGCGGTAGGCTCCCCTCTACCGACCACGCATAGACGGCGATGATCTCAGGCTAGCAAGCGCATCTTTCCGCAGCGAGATTCCCACACGACGCATTCATTCTTTCCCAAGAAGCGAATCGTAGGTGCATGAAGTAACCTGGATCTTATACCCCTCTTCATGGCGGAGCCGTACTTTGTCAGCGTAGCAGCGCCCTAAACCGCACGAAAGCGATTCTCAGACGGACAGAATCATGTATAAATTCAAACTGACACGCAGTCTTCTGAATTCTGCCCACGCCCAATGGCAACTTATCCCAAGACCTTTTTGTTTTGCTTCGTGAATCGCCTGTAACCAAAACGGTCAAAGCCGTTCGACGGAATAGAGCTTCAACCACAATAGCCACGCCTGCGATATTTCCAGCCCACACGCCGTCCGTCATCCTCGTCGTTCTTCTGGTGGTATTCCAAGCTTATCTTCCACCATGCACCAAACGCCGCCCGAGACGTATGAACCCATCTTAAAAGAATGTAAACGTCGGGATCCCACAAGTGTGCCTTTGCAGGAAAAAGAAGATAGCAAAGGCCACAAGTTAGGCGTCGATTTGCCCTGTGTGTTTGAATTTGCAAACCTAGCAAAAGCATCACTATTTATACTTAGCGGTGCCAACGACACCGATGATCCCTTCCAAAGACGAAGGATTAAATCGTTCATGGAGGATGGGGTTATCCATATCTTCCATACCTTGGCTATGAACCTAGTTGACCTCCAAGATCAAGTCTCAACCCAAAGACGAAACGTGACATTACAATGAACGACAGCGACCCATCTACCTAACCTTACAGCTCTTGAAAATTCAGTTTTGCTAATCATGGAAAGCGCCGATGGCTGTGCAGCATGGGTTGCGGACGGCGGTGGCAGCAGTGGTCGTCAAACACACCAGAAATAAAACATCACAATAAGACGAACCAAAATTCAACAGCATCCCTCACCCCGCCTAGATTGCACCAAAAGTAACAAAGTTCAAATACTCTACCTCGAATTTCTCGTCTACCTCTCAAGCAATACCACCGAGGCCCTCAACATCCCCAAAGCTCCCTCATCATCCACTTACACCTTCACCTCCCCCCAAACCAACACCAAACCCACGTGCCCTCCCCTGCACGTCACATCCCCACAAACCCCACTCCTCCCCATCCCCATCCAATCACACATCCAGAACCCAAAGCGGTGTCCTCCCAAACCCAGCCAAATCCCCACATGACACGGCAGAATCCCCCGGTGCAGCTCCCCAGACAGCTCCGCCTCGCAACATCGTCACCACCTCCCCTCCCTCGCCTCGTCTTCAATCCAGTTTCTCTTCAATCATTTCAACTACAATCGCCATTCCCAAAATGCCGCCATCGCTCAAATCCCTCTTCACAAGCTTCACCTCCCTCCTCCCGCTAACCCAACATCCCCTGAACCCGACTCCGTCACGATGGGAGGGCGAA